ATTTATATTATATATATATATATATATATATATATATATATATATATATATATATATTTGGTTAGTTATAGACATAGCTGCGTAAAAACAAAACAAAACAAATAAGGTAATGCATCCATATCATTCTACCTTCATGCAGAAGCAACGTCAACAACAAAGAGAGAAAAGAATAGAAAGGAATACCCGCTCTTATATGGATAAGAGTAATAATAATAAAAATCCTCCTCCTTCTACTATTACTACTACTACTACTACTACTAATTCTGCGGCGGTTATATCACCATTGCCGTTGTCTACACAGGAAGATCAGGAGGAGGAGGAGGAGTTCCTGTTAACATCGCAGTTGAAGGAACAACTCTACCGCATCTACACAAGTGTATCTCGACAGCGGGAGTGGTTTAAACTACACGAGGCAAACGCCATACTTCTCGCAGAGGAAGCAGAGAAACTACGGGGACGTTTCTTTCCACAGGAAGAGAAGATCTTAACAGCGATTGCAAAGACAACCTCACAACTCTCTTCTCTATCTCATCACAGAAGAGAAGTAAATGAGGAAAATACATCAAGGGAAGTAAAAGGAATAGAACCAACAATAATGGCGGCTCAGACATTTACACAATCGCAGGAGCCTATATCTATACAAGCCAATACAGATGTAGGAGCAGCAACATCACAACATACATTGGAGTCATGTCGTCCATTTATTTCATCTAATCATAATAACAACGATGGGTATACTTTACCACAATCTATGGATTTCATACCCTATTCAGCTACAGTAAAAACAACAATAACAACAACAACAACAAATGCAGTTACTATTATGATTCAGCGAGTAGTGCCGGAGTATCTCCTGCAACTCACACCTTGTTGGATACATGAACATCTCGGAAGTGAAAGTACGGCGAATAAACCGCCCATCGCCATGGAAGAGGCTGCTAATGCACTCACGGCTCTCTTGGCTCCATTACTTCGTGCCCTCAATGGTATTGTGCATACAGTTCATGATTTTAATAATAATAATAATAATAATAATAATAATAATAATAATAATAATATGGATGGGGCAGTTGTGTTTAGGTCACTTTCTGCAGTGGCCAGACATTTATTTTGCCTCCTGCATGAGACGTTGTGTTGTCTTTCACTCTGGACAACACCGCCGCAGCCGAACAGTGCAGATCGTGTGGAAATGATGGGAATTCTCACACAACTGCTAGATACACCAGGGAATAATGGGATAATACTACAAGAACTTCTCTGCAGTAGTGATGATAATAATAATAATAATAATAATAATAATAATAATAATAATAATAATAAGAGGGATAATCCTTTGGCTTATGACAATACACAAATAACAACACCTTTGCCTCCCTCTGTTGTTAGCGAGGCATTCGACTACTTGGTCATTCAATACTTAAGAATGCGTGTTGGTCAATGATAGATGGGGAAAGTGTAGAGAATAAATTTCTCTCAATACGAATGTTATTATTATTTTAATTGTTTTTTTTCTCTTGAGAGGAATTCCTTTTCTTTTTCTTTTGGTTTTTCATTTATTTTTTTTTTTTTTTTTTTTTATATGTATTCCTCCCTCCTTTTTTCACCATAACACTCTAATATTTTGGATATATATATATATATATATATGGTTTATACAGAATGATCAGAACAGAAATAAACACTATAGAAAGGAGACATCAAAGAAAGAAAGAAAGAAAAGGTGAGTATTGGAGCTATACCACTGTTTTTGGGAGTATATATATATATATACATATATTTCCCCCTTTCCCTTTAGATTTTCATGGGGTGTTTTTTTCTTTTTTCTTTTTTTCTTTTTTTCTGTTTTTTTTCTCTTTTATGTATTGCTATAGCTGTACACACCCTGATACTCCACTACTACGACTAATACCCATTATCAGCGCTATCCGGCTGAGAACAGTACGTGCTTGTTTATCTGTCCACGTGTACATTAGACTGTTGGGGTGGCGGTAGTGGTATCTGTGGTGATACGAGCAAAGAAAAATAAAAAAAGAAAAGAATAAATATAAAGAGAAATCAAATCCATCATTATCATTACCCTAACCACCACCACCACCAGAACCACAACAGGTCCACCAGAATAGTAGAAAGACAAAAAAGCAAGAAAAAGAGTAATTATTATTATTGTTATTATTGCTTTCTATTCTTTATGCCGTCGAATAGTTTCGTGGATTCTCACGAACCAACCACCGCCACCACCGCCGCAACCGTACATGATGTTGGCCCACGTAATGAAGATACATTAATGTTTGAGCCTGTAGTCCCTACCGTTATTCCATCTCAACTTTTAATTCAACATCGTCTTGGATGTACAACTGTACGTCTTAACGATTTGCAAAGGTCCAGTCGAGTAGAGGCTGAGACCTTGGCATTATATAAACAATTGAAATATAATAATGTAAACACCTTTTATCGCTTTATTGCCTTTATTCTGTGTTTACTGGTCCCATCTGTATTTTGTCATTCCTTTGGTGTAGGTACCACTGAGTGGTATGTGATGGAGTATAAAGTACATCATCGTTCACTTGGACTCTTCTTTGCCTGCCGTGAGGGATTAGCGGGTATTTGTATTGAATTAGCCAGTTCATATTATCCCCGTATTTTACGAGATCGACTTACACATGAAATTATCTGTGAGGCATCCGGTTCTTTTGTTCAACATTATATTGGCATTATGTGGAGTCTTGGTATTATTCAATTTCTCTCTAGTATTATGGCACTTATTGCCACTTTGCGAATGACTTGTCGTCCCACCCGTTCGGGAAGTTCACTGGCGGCGTTGTGTTTTCTCGCTGTTTCCATACCGTGTGGAATTGCGAATTGTGTACTCTTTTACTTTTACACGCGTTGTGATCGGGAGGAGTGTCGGGCGCTTCACTACACCGCCCCAGACTGTACTATTCATTATAGTTGGGGATATAGTCTTTACATTGCGGCTATTTGTTTAGACTTCTGTGCGTGTGTAACCACGGCGTGTTTATACTCATATCCACACTCTATACATAATTACGCCGTCCGGCTGTTGACAGAGAGACGAGCACAGAATTGTGAGGATGAACCCATTCATGAATGTGAGCGGGAATGTCAAACACAACGGTATGATAGGCATACAGAGAATATAAGTTATCTTCCATCACCATCACAACCACAATTCGCTTCTGCGGCTCCTGCAATGGAAACAAATCATAATCGTACTAATACCAATAGTAATAATAATAATAATAGTAATAATAACCGTAAGAATAAGAATGATAATGATGATAATTATAATGATGATGATGATAATAATGATCATAATAATAATAATAATAATAATAATAATAATAATAATAATAATAATAATAATAATAATAGTGGCAACAGACGAAACCCTGCATTCCATCGTCTGCTGCGCATGGTACGTGGGGATATGGAAGGTCATTCATACCTTACTGCGGTGGAACTTGGTGTTCAAATAGATGGTGCAAATGATTGGCTTTACGATGATAAGAGTGATTTGTTCTACAGTCCCAGTCTTGATATGTTTTGGGACCCACTCACATGTGATTACTACAGCTGTGCGTTGCAGAGTTGGCAGGTGACGGTGGAGGGACTCCCGGGATTGCATAGTGCGCGTGGTTCACATATAGGAAGAAGATGGTGAGGTGAGAAGATATGAAACGCATGTACACATTGAGACAAATGTATATATGTATACATATACATATACACACATACATATACATATATATGTATACATTCATTATGTCCATAGTAACAGTAAGTGAGAAAGAGAAAAGGAGATATATGTATGTATATATATATATATATACATATATATGGAGTGATAGTAAGATGGAAGAAGAACAGAGGGGAGATAAAAGCAGATATGAATGCCTAGAAGGAGGAAAAAAAAAAAGAGAAATAAAAAAAAATAAAAAAAAGAAACTCTAAGAATTTTTATTCTATTTTCTTTCCATTCCTCTTTTCTTTCTTTTATTTCTCTGTGATAAAATCAAGTGCATGGGATGAACCGTTTTTCCTTTTTTTTTGGATTCCCACATATATTGTTGTAAGTTGTTGCTCGTACGGTCTTAGTTGATGTTGATACTATTTGTTGCTTGTTCTTGATTTCTTTTTTTTTCTTTTTTGCTTATTGATATTATGTGTCTTTTTCTAAATATACACTTCCGACTCTCTCTCTCTCTCTCTCTCTCTGTATATATATATATATATATATATATATGCATGTGTTTCTCTGTTTATATCTCACTCCCATCGAAGGGATTAGATTGAACAATAACAATAAGAACACAAGATAAAATCTTATGAAAAAAGACAGAAAAAGAAGAAGGATAAGAAAGACTATCATTCTTTAAAGAAAAGTTGTCATTTGTAGACCCCCGCCCGTACCCACCCTCCCCCTACTAACTTATTTACATGAGTTATTATTATATACACATCTACTTTTTCTCTCTTTTTATATTTCTTTCTCTATAAAGAACACAACCATGGCCAAACAAGTCAAACCAGTAGGATCCTCACATCGAGGAAATAAAAAGAAGGGCAACTCTAAGACTTCTAAATCTGGAAGGACTGTATTGTTCCCACTACCACCACCACCATTTCTTTCTCTCACTCGCGGTTATATATATGAACCCGAATCCACAACATTTGATATTTCCGTCACTGTTCCTCTCCAACAACTGCAGAACCGAAGTGCCGTGCATGATACCGTCTTGCGATCCACTTTACACCGTTTACATGCCGCCCCTTCCTCTACTACTAATACTACTAGTACTACTAATACTACTGATACTACACACCGTACATTAGTGCATGTGGAGTCTATTACAATTCACGCAGACTCCGCACGGCAGATTAGCCACACAGGTGATGTACGCTTGCGGGCCACTGTGCAGGCGGTGTTGGCCCGTGTGCAACATGGACTTCTCGCTGGAGTGGCGGAGTCCAGTAATTACACAGATACCATGATGGTTCGAGTCCGCAGTGAAACCCCCATCACCAGTATCCCTAATACTACTAATACTAATACTAGTGAGAGTCAAACTAGTTTTCATCCGCATCTTCATACGAATGCGGATAGTGAGAAGGATGCCGCTTCTCTGCTGGTCACCGCACGGTGTTTGGAGGATGAGCCGGTGGTGGCTGGGCAGGCGGCGCTGCTGGTCTCAGAGCCCGGCACTCTGCGGTGTCTCGCCATTCGCCCGCCGCGAGTGGCCCCCGGTCCATTTAAACTAAACGTTGAAGACGGCGTTGCGGAGATACAGCCGGATTGGCCGGCAAAGGGGAAACGGCCGCGTGATGAGGAGGGGAAAGAACCACAGAAATCAAGAATACATAAAGTCACCATAACAACAACAACAACAACAACAAAAGAGGAAGAAGGAGAGATAGAAACAACAGCAAAGAAGGAGGAAATGGATGTGGAGGTCGTGTCTTGATGTTAGGAATTAATAGATAAGGACCTGAAGATAAAGGTGCCCTTATTAAACGATTAAGAAGATTACATCATCGACTTTTTTTGTTGACATAACCAAAAGAGTTGACATATACATATATACGTATATATGTATTGTTTCTTCTCTTGCTTTTTTTTTGAAGAAGAAGAGAAATGTTTCTATTCTCTTTCTTTTTATTATTCTTCTTCTTCTTCTTATTATTATTATTATTATTTATTTTTTATTTGTTCCTCCTCCTCCTCCCGTACTTCTTTATGATTTCTTTCCCCCTTTTTTTTCTTCTTTTTTTTCCTTTGCATATCTGATAGACGAAGTCAAAAAAAAAAAAAAAAAAAAAAAACATCACTTTTATTCTAGAAAAAAAAAAAAAAAAAAAGAAAACAATCATCACTTTTATTCTAGGGAAAGCTTGAGGCATCCTCTTATTTATTTATTTTTTTCCTTGTGGTGACCTCTGAGTGAGTAAGTGAGTGAGTGACTCTCTCTCTTTGTACAAGGACAAGGTGCCAGAAAAGAAAAGAAAAAAAAGGAGAGAAATTATTATTATTATTATTATTATTATTCACCAATTTTGGTACTCGTTCTCACACAAAACATTGGAATCAGAACAGGAAGGAAAAATAAAGAAAAATAATAAAAAAAAAAAAGAAAAAAAGGAACAAATGGGTTACAATTATGATTACTATTCGGAACGCTCCTACAGTGTTCCTTATATGCGATATGGACCCTTTGAAATAACCACGTTTCTTATGGGATGTTTCATCTGTGTAGCGATTATGTTTAGTTTTGCCTGTACTATTGGGTATCTTGCGGACCTTGCGGAGGAATTCCCTACACGCACAAAGAAAATTCTTCATACAGTGACTCTTTTAGTTTTGATAATACATACTTTTATTCTTCTCTTAGATCGTTTGAGTTGGTGGCGCTCGCTTGTGAGCATTATAACAAATGTGTTGTATTTGCGAATTCTAGCGAATTACCCACGCTTCGCATTCACTCAACCTTTATCTATTGCAGCTATTGTGGGATTATTTCTAGAGATGATCTCATGGTATACCTTCTTTCTCTTTTCTTCTTCTGGAAACATGTCAATGGGAGTTACAAGACTTATTTCTTTTGTTGTATTTATTTTACTCGTACCAATTGGTCTTCTTGTCTCGTTAGAAGTGGAACCGGTAACGTTACCTGGTAGTAGTATTAGCAACAGAGCTTCCTCATCATCCTATCATGCGGATATTTCTTCTAGTGAACGCAAAATGACAGTGCTGAAGGCGATAAAGAGTTGGTTCACAGTTTCAACGGATTAGAAATAAAAGGAAAGAATCTATCTATCTATCTATCTATCTATCTATCTATATATGTCTTGCTCAGCAGCAAGAGGAATGGGAAGTGGATTATTTTGTGAGAAATGAGAGAGTAGAACTGTAAAGTTAACAGAGAGAGAGAGAGAGAGAGAGAGCGTGAGAAAACTACAGAAAGATTGAATGAATTCATAAACAAAGAGAGAAGAGAAAAGAAAAGAAGGAGAAATGGAGCGTGTTCAATCAAAGAAAGAACAAAAAAAAAAAAGTTGCTTTGAATGAATGAAAGTGGTTCGGCGTGTATTCCTCATTTATTCTACTTGTAAGCATTATGGATTAACAATAATAGAGTGTGAAAGGCACTACTGTGTCTTTTTTTTTTCTTTCTTTCTTTTTATCTCTGTGGTCATATACATAATGTCTCTTTTTTCTGTTTTTCTTCTTCTGTTACGCAAGCAAAAAGTAAAAGGGATAGACAAGAACAACAACAACAACAAGTAGAAAATAAAGTATCAAACGCAAAGAAAAGAAAAGAAAAGAAAAAAAAAAAAAAAAAAAAAAAAAAAAAAAAAAAAAAGAAAAAAGGAGAGAAATATAATATTATAATGTCTTTTAAAGCCAATCAACTGGTAATAAACCGAGTGGCCAACCCACCACCACTTCCTTCACTGAAGGGAGTGGCATTCGGGACTATCTTCACACCGCACATGGTCCAGATCGTAACAGAGTCCACCACACAATGGGGAGCTCCGAAGATTGTGCCTTTTCAGAACTTCTCCATGGCTCCACAAACCGCATGTCTTCACTATGGACTCCAGTGCTTTGAAGGAATGAAGGCCTATCGTGATGCCGCCGGTAATGTTAGACTTTTTCGACCAGAACGCAATTGTGAGCGTATGTTGGCAAGTATGCGTCGTCTTTGTTTTCCGGATTTTGACACTAAAGAACTACTGAAAATTCTAGAGGAATTTGTAAAAGTAGAAAAGGATTATGTTCCCACGGAACGTGGTTACTCCCTCTATTTACGACCAGCGGCAATTGGAATAGATGAAGTGCTCTCCGCTTCCTCTCCAACCTCTGTGATGTTATTTATTATTGCTTCTCCTGTTGGCCCTTACTACGCCTCTGGGATGAAGCCTGTAAAGTTATTGGTGGAAGAAGAACGTAAACGTGCGTGGCCGGGTGGAACAGGAAATGTCAAACTCGGTGCAAACTACGCAGCTCCCATGCTTGTACAGAAGGAAGCGGCAGCTCGTGGATATCAACAAGTATTATGGCTTGGCCCAAAGGATGAAGTGCAGGAAGTGGGGGCGATGAATTTCTTTTGTCTTTGGCAGCCAAATAAGAATAACGCCGAGTTGGAACTCATCACTGCCCCACTCGACGGCACTGTTCTCCCAGGCATTACACGAGATTCCATTCTCAGTCTCGCACGGCAATGGGGTGAGGTGCGGGTGTCGGAGCGGACCTTCACAATTCAAGAGTTAGTCACCGCCCTGCAGGAGAAACGAGTGAAGGAGTGTTTTGGCTGCGGCACTGCCGCGATCGTCACTCCCGTGGAGGGATTACATTTCAATCATGTCGATTATCAAGTGCCGTGTCCAGAGGCGGAGAAGTCTCTCACACACCGTATATTAAATGCGATTATGGATATTCAGTATGGAGTGGTGAAACATGAATGGTCTCATGTGATTAACATGTAGACAACAAGAAGGAGAAAGAGAAAAAAGAAGAAAGAAAAAAGAAGAAAGAAAAAAAAAAAAAA